GGCGGCTGCAAGGTGGAAAAGGGGCAGCCCCTGGGCCACCCCCGGGGCCGGGCAAGGCCGGCAGCGAGCGCTTTGTGACCACGAAAGGGGGAGCGCTGCGGGGGACGGGACAGCCTCACTGAGCATTGCTGCTGGCGGGGCCCCCCCATCTTGTATTCTGTGGATTGATCAGGTGGCCAAGCAACATTTTTCCCCCTTTCCAGTGCCCGTGGTAAACAGCAGCAATCGCCAGCGTCAGGGGTGCGGCCACCCTCCCTCGCCCATGCCAGCGTAGCAACAGTGGCTTCAAAACGGTGGCCCCAACCCCCGCAGCCACTGCCGAGCAGGTCTGTGCACGCGTCCCAGCCCTCTCCCCTGGCAGGGTGGCACCCCCAGGTGACCCCCTCCCTGCTGTGCTTTCCAGGGCGCCGCATGCCAGGCATGGGGGGCTTCGCCTGCCCCCGCTGCCGCATGGCTTTCAGGTCCCAGCCGCTGCTGCGGGTGCATGAGGAGAAGCTGTGCCCCGGGACCCCGGCAGCCGGCAGCTCCTGCCTCCCCGGGGGGAACCCACCGCCTGTGGAGGGGGCTGCGGGCACAGCGGGGAGGCTGCAGGACACCTCGGTAGCGTGGAGCCGGGTCTGGCGCGAGGTGTTTGGGGATGGGGCAGTCAGCAGGGACAGGGACAGGGACAGGGATGGGTGCTGGGCTGGGACATGCCACGGGTGAGGAAACGGGGCGTCACAGCCACCACAGCTGGATCGGGCCCAGCCTGAACCAGGGGGACCCTCTGTCCTCCCCCACTGCACTGCACAAGCAGCCCTCAATGCTTATTTTGTCAAAGCCAGGAAAGTTTGTATTATTAAGCATTTTTTTCCCCCTTTTCTTCCCATTTGCCTCTGCGAGGTCGGGGTGTCCCAGCATGGGGACCGCGCTGAGCCACGCCATCTCCTCGTGCTTCCCAGGCTCCCGCCGGCCAGGCGGGGACAGTGGGGGCCGGGGCGAGCACAGGGGGCTCCCCTGGGGGACGTGCTCACCCCCCGCGAGAGGGCCCTGCTCCGCATGGCCGACCCCGCTTCCAGGAGGCTGACAACGGAGGTACGGCGAACCCCACGCCCCTGGGGTGGGCACCAGCACCCGGATGGCTCCCTACGCCCCCAAGCCCCATGGCTGGTGGAGTCCAGTCCCTCCTGCCTGTTGCAACCCCCTGTGCAGCAGGGAGAGCCCAGCCGGCGGCCGGCCCCACTGCAGGGGCGCGGGCGCGGGGCGCGGGCAGCGGCCACAGTGGAGGCCCTCGAGCACCACATGGCCAAAATCCAGGCCAGGATCCAGCAGCTGGAGCAGCAGAGAGAGGGTAGTGCTGGCATGGGTTTTGGGGTGATGGGAAGGCACCGATGGGATGCACTAACCCGTGGGGAGTGGGGCTGTGGGGACTGTGCTGAGTCCCCATGGCCCCTCACCATCCCACAGATCTGTGCCGGCAGCTGGCAGCGCTGGGGACCAGGGTGGCTGCAACCCCCCACCCTGCACAGGAGGAACCAGAACTGAGCCGGGCCCCAGAGGTGCTGCAGGATTATGTCGGACTGCTGTTACATGGAGGGTGAGCCCCAACTGGGGGGACAGGACTCTGCACCCCTCCAGGGGAGTGCCCAGGGAGCAGGGTGCTCTCCATCACAGGGCCCTTGGCCCCTCAGCCTCCCCGTTTGCCTGTTTCCTCCCCAGGGCCACCTTCTACCTCGACACCCTCCTGCCGACCGCTGGGCCACTTGCCGCGGAGGCCAGGTGAGGCTCTGTGGGTGGTGGTGGATCCAAGCTGAGCATCCTGCCGAGCCCCAGCAATGGCTGATTCCGGGGCTGTGGCAGGGCACTGCGACTGTCCTACCTGCGCGCTGGAGGACACGACCTGGCCATCCTGGACCAGCTCCTCCAACTCCAGGTGGAGGCCACAGTGCTGGAGAAAGGAACCACGGAGCTGCGCGGGGGCAGGAGGATGGGTAAGCCCCAACCCCAGCTCTGGGACCACCCCCCAGCAGGGACCCTGTCTCCACAGCCGGCAACTGAGGCACCCCCGGCTGTGCCAGCAGAGCCCCACGGCACTGGTGCGCGGGGCCCGGATGCAGCACTGCTGGCCGTGGAGCTGGAGAACCGGCGGCTGGAAGATGAGCTCCTGGCACTGAAGGTCAGGAGGGAGAGGAGAGCTGATGCCGGTAGGTGACAGGTCCCAGGGAATGGGGCAGCCCCCACCTGCACCCCACAGCTCCCGGTTGCCTCTGGGGTTGCAGCTGTCAGGGCCCCTGGGCTGCCAACGGCTTGTGCAAATATGTGCAAAGGGATTGCTGCAACTGCACAGCCCAGGGTGGGTTCTCCGCACTTGCCAGGGGGCCTTGCACGGTGACAGCACTGGGACGGGGGGGACAATGTTCCCTTGGACATTGGGGAGGAATGGGGAGGGGAGAGTCACTGCAGCAGCAGGAATGGTACCCCCCAGTGACTCTGCACACCAGCCCAGTGGGGTGCCAGGGGAAAGGGCTACTGAGGGGGAGGTAAACCCTGTGGTGAAAAGTTCCCGTCCCCCAGGCTCACGGGCAGCCCAACGGCACGCGGAGGAGCTGGCCCAGCTCCAGGCAGAGGTGGGGATGCTGCGATGCCACACGGAGCGGACAGGGCCACAGCTGCCCCCCGCAATCCTCCCAGCTGCTGTGGCCCCCCTGTTCCCACCAGCTCTGGCCACACCAGAGCTTTTCACGGTAAAAGAGCCTCGTCCTGGGGCTATTTCCAGGTCTCCAGAGGCGACAGGAGATGGGGTTGGGCTGCTGACCCAGATGGGACGATGAGTGTGGCGGTATGGGCTTGGGGAGATGATTCAGGAACTGCTGCCTTGGCCATAGCTGGGGACACGGGTGCCCCATGGAACCAGGGCCACCAGGACAGGCGGGTCGTCCCCCCCAGATGCCAAACCACAGGCGTGGTTTGCTCTGCATGCCCAACGCCATGTGTGGCATGGGGTGGCTGGGCAGCTCCTGCCAGTGCCTGTGGCAGGACAGGGCTGGGACACCCCTCCTGTTAACACCCCTTTTCTCCTTTCCCAGGAGTCCCCTGGGCCAGCGCTGGGGACAGGCAGCCCCACAGCCCCTGGTCACCCCCACATCCCCCCTGGCCTCCCCTTCACGGCCCCGGAGGACCCCCGGGAGCCCCCAGCACAGCACAGACCTCCCCGAAGGTAAGCCAGGAATGGGCCACGTCCCCGCAGCACTCCCTCAGCCCCAGCATCCCCCGGCGTCCCTTCACTGAGATGGAACATGAAACTGGGGCTTTCTTAACTATACGTGCGATGAAGGGATGGCAAAATTTGTGTTACAGCTGCAGGTATGGAGGCTTGGACCAGCTGTATAATTGGGCACAACCACTTTTTTCCCTTTCCCTACTTTCCCATCACAAGCCTTTTCTAGGGGAAGCCTCACAAGAAGCGTCCATGGCTCAGCCACAGGAACCAGCAAACCCACAGCAAGATTTCTTCTGCCACGTTGGAGGCCATGCTGGGTGTTTAATAAACGGTGTCAGCCAGTTGCTCTTTGCTTCTTCACCTTTTTTTTTTTTTATATGTACATATAAACACATGCACATTTGTCCCAGAGCAGCCTCC